TCTGGAGCCGGACCACAAGCATTGGGAGCCCACCTCTGTCACTGACTAGTTGAATGACCTCGGACAAGTTACTTTTTGGGCTATCTATTGCTATATGTCAAACCACCCCAAAACTCAGTGACTTAAAAAACACATCCATTTTCTTCTCATGATAATTTGGGTTGACTGGGCTCAGCTGGGTGGTTATGCTACATCATAAGGTGTCGGCTGGGGCTACAGTCACCTGGGGCTCTATTGAGCTGGACATGCAAGATGGGACACTTGTTCATGTGACGGTTGGCGCTGCTGTCCTCTGGGTCTCAGATGGGATTGGTGGGCTTCTCCACCTGGAGTCACTGAGGCTGAGGCTGCCCAGGAACCACGGGCTGGGAGGTTTGGGTTGGGCTCATGCCATCTTCACTTTATTCACACCAACCACTCTCATCCTCACCTGTGACATGGGGCGACGTCTCTCCCCACAGGGCCGTGAGGAGGAGGGTGTGAGGAGGGTCGTTGTGGGAAAGCTCTGCGTAAAGCAGGAAGCCATGGGGACTGTGGCGTTGCTGTGTCTGCAGGTCTCTCAGGACAGGAGGTGAGGGCACCTGCCTGGGTCCTGATTCTGCCAAAGGGAGACGTATAGTTTCCCCATGGTTTTGGCAATTGGCTGATTCTCTTTCAGCCCTTCCTTCCTTCCCCTCCCTCCCTCTCCCTTCTTACTTTCATCCTTTGCCCCCCTCTCCCTTTTTACATAAACATTTATTTAGCACACTTGTCATTCTTTGTGGCAGAATCTCTAGTATTTGTACCCTCTTCCCAGTTTGAGAACTCCCCCGTCAGAGTGTCAGGATGACCCCTGTCCCTGTCCCACGCCTGCATTGTGAGGTGGCTGCTGTCAGCTGACCTGTCCCTGCCCCCAGCTCCCAAGCAGCCTAGGGAATCGAGCCAGGGTTTTGTGGAAGCTTGTGGCTGAAGCAGCCCAGACGCTGATTCTCCATGGGTATTGAGAACCCAGGATTCCTGGCTGCTCTACTCCCAGCAGGGGCCCTGCCTTCCCCGCACCCACGTTCTGCCACGTGGCTTCCCGAGGCCAGACGGTGAGCTCCCATCTCTGCGGGGTCAAGGAGAAGTGAATAATGACAGCTGAGCTGCCAATCACTTATTATGCCCCATGGGGAGAGCAAATCAGAGAGAGGGCTGCCTCCCAGAGCTGTGCTCCTGGTTCCTGGGGCTTTAGGAGGCCATGAAGGATGTTGGTGGCCAGTATCAGTAGAAAGTTATGTTTCTGATAAAGTACCCTCAGCTCCACACTGAAATATAACCAGCTTCCTGGACGATTACTGTAAACCCAGATGATGGCCAGTACCCAGCCGGGTAGACAGCATTTCCAGGCAGAGAAGGGCACGGTGGTGCAGCCAGTGTCTTCACAGTCCCTCCTCCCATCTGTGTTCTCCATCCGATCCTCTCATTATGCCAGGAGAGACGAGGTGCTGAGGGGAAGCTCGGAGGACATGAGAGGCCGAGAGCCACCTAAAGCCCCACCAGAGAAGGCTTAAGAGTCCTAGCCGTTCCCATTGGCCCCCCTCCGTCAAGGGCAGAGAGTGCCTGGAAGGGGTGAGCCTTCAGAGCCTTCCTTTGCCCTTTTCCACTCCTGATGCATCAAGGAGTTTGAAGGCAAAGTCTCTTCCATCTGGCTTTCTGCATTCTAGCAAATGCATTGGGGGAAGGAGTTGGAAAAAATATAATTTACGATGCACACTTAAATTAATACAGAAGGTATATCTGATTGTGGCCACACAATTAATGCATCCTCATTGTGGAAAGTACAGAAAAGTTCAAATATATAATCAAATTCATCTGACCTCTCAGCCAGCTCCCACTGTCATCTTTCAGGTCTCTTTCATTCTGACTTTGTCGGCACACATGCATTGTGAGTTATTTTGGGAATCACAGGGCATTTGCAGTCCATAGCAGCTTTTTATTAAGCAGAGAGCAGGAGCTTTTTTCTGTGCCATTAAAAATTGATCAAAAGCACTCTATTGGTGGGATTATACTTTTTAATTTAAATCTTGGGGTGGCAGTATGTTATTTCAAAATTCAAACGATATAAAAGGCTATTTGGTAGACAGTCTCACTCCCAATGCTGTACACCAGCTTCCTGGACCTCCACCCCCAGCCCACAGGTGCCCCTTTGGTGTCTTAAATTTCACTGCTACAGCTTCTTGATGCAAAAAACAAACCCCAAACAACCAAATGCAACTTGATAGTCTTAATTCTTCGTTTTTGCACATGGTAGTGTGTAAGACCCACCGACCACCCCTGCTTTTGCTGTCACTCGATCATCTGTCTCAGAGCTCTTTTCAAAACAGCACATGGAATGCTATCATTTTCTTTAAAAGTGTGTTTAAATTTTTTTAAAATATATTTTATTGATTTTTTACAGAGAGGAAGGGAGAGAGATAGAGAGTTAGAAACATCGATGAGAGAGAAACATCGATCATCTGCCTCCTGCACATCTCCCACTGGGGATGTGCTCGCAACCAAGGTACATGCCCTTGACCGAAATCGAACCCGGGACCCTTCAGTCTGCAGGCCGATGCTCTATCCACTGAGCCAAACCGGTTACGGCTGTTTAAATTTTTTAAAAAGCAGTTCATTCAAAATATATTCTTTTTTTTAAATCTTATAGAAAAATAATAAATGAAAAATATGCCTTTTTTCTCCCCAACCCCACTCTTAATCTACTATCAATGATAGCCACAGTCACTATGCTCATATACTTTTCTGGAATTACTTTTATGCTTGCACCCTCGGGAGTGTGTGTACCTCATTGTTAGCTTGGCCATCTCATGTGGACATGCCACATGTTCTTGAATCATTCCTCTATGGTTGGACCTTCATGTTGTTTGCTTTTTTCCCCATTTGTCTAAGCAATGGAAAGAGAATGATCTTTGATGTGAATGTTGGTCTTTGGTTGTTTCTTCTAGATAAACTCTTGGAGTGAGATTTCTGGGGCAAAGGATGTGGATGTTTTGGGAATCTTGGGACATGGAGCCTCTGGCTTCCCTAGTAGATTATACCAGCTCTCCTCCCAGCCACCCACATGAAAATGACAGTTGCCTGAACAACAAGGCCACCCGACCCCCAGCCCACAAGTTCCTGATCATTTGAAAATGGAAGTGTTTTCCAGTGGCTTTCCTGGCAGGTTTCCTCCTTGTTGGGCTTGAAGGAATTTCTCAAAAGCAGCTTCTTAGCAAAGTCTGCTGCCTGGAGCCCTGTCTACTAGTAACTGCTTAGCTCACATCTGAGGGCTCCAGCTGGGTCACTCTCCGCCTGGGCTGCCATATGTGAGGTGAGAGACACCCCTTGGGCTGGCAGGACAGATTCATGCCTAGTGTCAAGGATAACAGAATATACTGCTCCTACTTCTCAATAATTGTCCTATTATTATTATAGTGCACAAGTCAGTTATTGAGGCCTTTCTACCTGCCAGGCACTGTTTTGCATACTCTATAGGTGTTGAGTCTCTTTGTCCTCAGAGTAACCTATGAATATTACTACTCTTATACCCATTTTACAGATTAAGTCAGTGGGACACAGAGAAATTAGGTGATTTGCTCATGACCCTACAGTCAGGAAGAATGGGAGCTGGGATTGGATCCTGAGCCATGAGGCCTCAGATCACAGGCTCCGTAATCACTGGCTTCTGCCTCTGAAGGGAACCCACTGTTTCTTTAAGGGGGACCTTCGGAATGCTCTAAGGGTAGAACTTCTGGCTACATCTCACCTTCTCCTTTCACCTGTTAGCTGGTGTTTCCTCTGGGGGAATTTGTAGCAGAAAAGCCTTTGACGTTGGACAGACCTGGACTCATATCCGGTTTGTATACTAGTATGTGTGACTGTGGGCACTCCCACGGCCTCCCTGAACTTCAGTCCATCTGTAGAGTAGGGGGTGGGAGGAACCCACCCCTGGGACTGTTACCCAGACTGTAGAATATGAAATGTAGATTACCATATAATATGAAATCTCTGACAGGTGTGCAGTGTGAAGTAAAAGTTCTCTTTCCCTTATTACCCCACACCCTTCTCTGTTCCACTTGGTTCCTCTTAGTTCTGATCCTCATTCTTTTTAAAAAATATATATTTTTATTGATTTCAGAGAGAGGAAAGGAGAGGGAGATAAAGAGATAGAAATATCAGTGATGAGAGAAAATCATTCATCAGCTGCCTCCTGCACACCCCACACTGGGGGTCAAGCTCGCAACCAGGGAAAGTGCCCTGACTGGGATTTGAACTATGACCTTCTCTGGTTCATAGGTCGACGCTCAACTACTGAGCCACACCAGCCAGACTGATCCACATTCTTAAGCTCTAACCAGTTCAGATTCGATCAGTTCACAATAGGAAATGTATCCCTGGGTGTGATGATGTCATCACCATTTATTGAGCATCCACCAGTGCTGGCCATTGTGTCATCTGCTTTACATGGTAGCTGCCATCACGCAGGCAGGCTCGTCTCATACTCAGTCATGTCCTCCCAGGGCCTCGGAGTCAAAGAAGACCCTGTCCTGCTGCCTGGGGTTTCGATACGTTATGAGGGAAATGATGGGGCCACAGGAGGCAGGCAGGGGCTGTTTGTGTTTATGCATTGGATGTGTCTGTGGTGTGATGTTCATCTTGGCAACAATGGATAATTTTTTCTACTGCGCATTTGCTATCTTGCATCTCAGATTTTAACTAGGCCTTGATAGCTCCAAAATTGCATGCTTTTATGTGCCTGTGATTATCTCGGCAGGATGATCAGCCCTTTTTCTGTAAAGATGATTGAGATCGCTCATGGCATATTTTTGTTCCTGTAACATCATCTCTAGCATCCTTGCACCGAACCTCATTGTTTCCCAGCCCTGCCTTTCCACCTCCGTGTGAGCAGGGGATGCTCAGGGAGCATGAGAGACAGTGTTCTATTGTGATTATGCAAACCATGGTAACCACGATGTGTTCTCTCTCTTCTCTCCTGATGGCAGGTGCCTGGAGATCTGAGTCAAACATCGGAAGATCAGAGTTTGTCAGATTTCGAAATGTAAGTCCACTGCGTCTGCTTATGAGGGCCCTTTAGAAATAGGACTCTGTGGTTTGGCTTGAGTCCCAGAAGGACCACACGGGAAAACAGAAATCACTGTTTAAGTCCGCACAGGCTGGTTTGGTTCTGGTAGAGGTGGAGCGTTGTTCGCCTGCCGCCCGAGTCTGGCCTTCAGCTTTGTTTTATGTTTCCCCTTCAGTATTGAAAAACAATTTTTTTTTGGCTGACATTTAAGAGTTGAAAGATATCACATAAAAATGTAAATTTCTCTATTTTCTTTAAAAAAAGAAAATCCTTGCAAGGCCATATTCAGAGCTGAGCAGCAGCTTCCTCCTTCATACAGGGCAAGTGCTCCTCAGTGAACCACAGTCCACACTTCTCCCAATTACCTGACTCTGGCTCACCATTCATTTCATTGACTGTGTGTCTCCGTGGGAATTTGAATCTATAATCCCTGGTTGTTGGAAAGAACAACAGCTCAGTGCATTGCTCTGATTTTTTTATTAGATTCACTTCTGTCTGGTGCCTCTGCTGATAACTCCAAAGGAATTTGGTTGATCTTTAGACTGAATATTTCTGATTAGGTTGTCTTGGTTTTTGGACTGATAATCCCCTTGGGCTGGTAAAGAGAGTGGAGTGGGCCCTGGATTAAGGCCATCAGAACCCCCCTCTTGTCTCATTCACTTGCCTGTGTGGAAGAAGGCTCAGCCTCTGAGAAAAGGTGTCATCTGGGGAGAGCCCACATCTCTAGAGGCCCGGTGCACGAAATTCGTGCACGTTGGGGGGAGTGGACCCCTTGGGGGATGTCCAACTGCCGGCAGTCAGACATCTCTCTCACAATCCTGGACTGCTGGGTCCTAATCGCTCACCCGCCTGCCTGCCTGGTCGCCCCTAACTGCCCCCGCTGCCAGCCTGATCGCCCCCACTGCCTCTGTGTGCTGGCCTGATCATCCCTAACTGCCACCCCGCTGGCCTGGTCACCCCCAACTGCCCCCCCCCTGCTGCCCTGGTCGCTCCCAACTGCCCCCCCTGCCGCCCTGGTCACCCTGGTTGCCCCACGCAGCCTGCTATTCAGTCATTTGGTCATCCTTCGCTAACCCTCCTGCCAGCCTGGTCGCCCCACGCAGCCTGCTTGTTCAGTCATTTGGTTGTCCCTCACTAACCCCCCTCCTGACCTGGTCATAGGCAGCCATCTTGTGAGGGTGTGAGGGTTAATTTGACTTTTAAAAATAATCTGCAGGGGCCAAGTAATGCAACTTAAACTGATTCTTTACCGTTAAGTGTTAGAGACATTGCCATAAATTTTTTGCCCATGATGCATCTTAGAGGAAAAGATAGTCCCCTCCCCCATTTTTGTAAATTTAAATGACCCATTTCGGTCTTTCCTTTGGTCAGATCAAACCGGGCGCTGATCAACGTCTGGATCCCATCCGTGTTTCTCCGGGGCAAAGCAGCGAACGCATTCCATGTGTATCAGGTAAGCTCCTGGCTGCCAGGTAGGCAGTGCTGGGGGAGAGCTGTCTCGTTTGTTGCTCTGGTCTCGGCTTCCTGGCAGTAGCGTGTTGTGCTGTGCTGTGCTGTCCTGAGAGGCCACAGCTGCAGACATCGCACTCAGCAGCAGCTCCCGAGGAACTGGTCCTCCATCCAGGAGGGGGCCAGGTGGCTTCTCACGCAGTTAGCCTCTCAGTGTGGCTGTGGGCCCTCGGCTCTGACAGCGTGAGGGAAGGGGCGTCTGTGGCTTCTGTGGGAACTGAGGAGGCCAGGTGTGGCTCTGGCCTCAGGGGCACCTGGCATGTGTCCGGAAATCTGCCCCTCTCCACCCCCTGTGGTCCTCTAATGAGGCCCCTTTTCAGGCTGCTCTCTGAGGGGTGATGAGATGGCTCCCAGCAGTGCCAACTCTGGCCTCAGGGAGGTCTCAGACACATCCCCAGCATTTCTCGTGGGTCTGTCTTGTATCTCAAGCCCATCCCTTCACCTAGGGGTTGGGTGATTGGCTTCTGTGATTGGCCAGGTTTGGATTATGTGACCACCACTGGCACTGGAGCTAGGGTAGATAATGTGTCTGAGAGGGGAGATGTGGCTCCCACATGTAAACCTGGGTACTCTTTCCAAAGAAGGGGCAACAGGTGGTCAACAAACAAAAACTATAGACGTCTCCTCTCTCTCCTTGGGGTAGAGCTGGCCACCCACTGGCTCGGAGTTGAGTGTCTGGGGCCCTAGAACTTTTATCTGTTTTGGAGGTAATTTTGCCTCAACAACTGGGACCCCAGTTTTCCATCTGTTCTCTAATTTTCTGATGCCTCTTCCAGCCCTGCCTCCTTATCCTCTCTCTGTCTTTCTCTGACTCCCTGGATCCCAATGTCCAGCCGCCAGTGTTCACCTGTCCTGGGACTGTTTTGTTCTCAGCTCTGACTTGTAGCTGCTTCCGGTTCTGTGGCTTCTGGTATCACAACAATGTTCACTGAGTTTTGTTTTTATTCCCCTGAGCTCTGTGAAAAGCCTTGCGTTTTGTTGCCATTTTTCTTGGTGGGGGATTGACCCATTGAAGAAGTCATCTCAGATATGAAGGTATTTCCTCTAAAGTCTGAGACGGTGAAAAAAAAAATGACACTGAACTTGAAAATAAAACTCTGGCTTCAATTTTGTGGCCTTCAGTAAACCTCAGCTTTCCTGTCTGTGAAATGCAAATAGTAACACTACTTACCTTGGAACGCTCTTACCTGTATTAGGATTACATGGCGCAGTGGACACGTAGTTTCTCTCTGGTCTTCAGACATGATTGCGTGTTTGGGCTCCGGGGCAGGTCTGGTGGTGGACATGCGGCACAGAGGTGGGAGCATGAGCAGGGCACACAGGTCTCACCTAAAACCTCAGGGACCGATGATTTCTCAATGACGCTCTCACCTGGGAGTCATTTGCTCCCCATTTAGCTGGGCAGCACTAGCACTCAAAGTGTCAGAGAAGCTGGGTGTCCACATTGCTCTCAGCTCTGACTTAAAAAAGGGGATTAGATAGGACATATTTCTGAATATCTCCTCCTCCTTTCTCTTTGTATCCCAAACCCCAATAAACACACTCCCTTCAAGTTCTGCCTGCAAGTGGTGGTCATCAGAAAGCCGGGTGTTGCCCTGAGGATGAAGAGTGAAGCGATGGCTTTTATTCCGAGTGAAATGAAAACGTGACCTCCCCAGAGAGGTGTCCTTGACCTTTCATTTGGATTCTTTCCCCCCAGCTCACCCCAGGAAGCACCGTGGCAGGTTTCAGCTTCTGAAAGTCAGTTATGAAATGAGAGGGACACAGCAGATATGCCGTTGCCTGGGAGATTGTTGCCACAGCGGTCACAGTGGCGGTCCAGCCTCCCTCTCCCCAGGCACTATTGTGAGAGCTTCCCAGGGTCCAGCCAGTGCAGGGGAGGGGGGTGCGGCCCAGAGTTCATCCAGCCACCGCCTGGCAGCTCCCAGCGCCCAGGCAGCTGCAGCCCTCACCGTGGCCCTGAAACCTCTCTTGCTGTTGGAATGGGGGAAGCAGCACCTCTTGAATGCAATTGTTTTCTCCTTTTAGCTGATGATGCTTCTCCTTGGTACCTCTAGAGCAAAAGCTGAGCCAAGTATGACTCCGGACCTTCTCCTACAGCAGTGGTTCTCAACCTTCTGGCCCTTTAAATACAGTTCCTCATGTTGTGACCCCCAACCATAAAATTATTTTCGTTGCTACTTCATAACTGTAATTTTGCTACTGTTATGAATCGTAATGTAAATATCTGATATGCAGGATGGTCTTAGGCGACCCCTGTGAAAGGGTCGTTTGACCCCCAAAGGGGTCGCGACCCACAGGTTGAGAACCGCTGTCCCACAGTGATAATAGTAACATGTCTAAGAAGCAGCAGCTGCTGCCTCTCACTGGTCTGTGTGAGTTACATACAATAAATAGCTCACTCAGTCCTCACACAACCCTTATCCCCATTTTATGGATGGGAAAACAAAGGCACAGAGAAGCATCTCATCCTATAACATGTTTTTCAGTCCAAATAGCATTTTCTGGCAAGATATCAGTTTGCAGATTCTGTGAATGAGGGAGGATGGAGTCTAGCTCTTTAAGAATCCAAGAAAGAGATGGGGCAGTTGCTTCATTCTGAAGGGCCAGGCCCAACCTGGCCAGGATCCTGCATCCCTGAGACGGTGGGCCAGGGGCACACCTGGGGCTGAGCCAGGCACTTTCTGTAGGACGGCCCCGGGTCCCCTGCAGACACATTGCCACCGAAGCCCTGCCAATCCCAGCGCCGCCCTGGAAGGGCTCAGGGACGTGCCCCGAGAGCCTCTCGTTTGAGCGATGGCAGGAGACTGCCCAGGATCTGCCTGGGCACTTGGGAAATGCACTGGTAAGTGCCGGAGGAATATGATCTGTAGGAGCAGGTCTGAACCAGACTTGGCAAGAAGTGCTGTCCCTTTGCAGGACCGCAAGCCAGGTATTAACAGAGGTCTGCGCCTCTGAATACAGGCCCCATGCTCCTCGCCTGTGATCTGGGGTGGGCCAAGGAATGTTCTGGCCCTAAAAGTAGTAAATGGCAGCACTTGACCAATTTTCAGAACAAGTAAAACTGACACCCAGAACTTTCTAATTTAAGTTTTTCATCCACAAATATTTCCTACACTTCTAGCCCCTGCTAATGCTTGGCTGCTGGCAGACACTAGCCAGAGATAAAATGATTAAGCAGCAACAAATAAAATGTCAGGAACAAGACTCAATCTATTAACTAGTTTTGCTTATTTCGTTCTCACTTCCTCTCTCTGTGCAAACACAGATGTGCTTCTAGGTTTGATTCTCCATCACTTCTATCTGATATAGTTACATCCGTGTTAATCAACTAGTTCCTGGTTTCTACCTTTGTACTTGATGTTATTTCCCGACTGCCCTGACTTCCAAACAGGTCTGAGGTCCACTGTGTTCGTGTCCTACTGCAGTGTTTACAAAGGCCGCTAGACCTTACAGCAACCTGCCTGTTTTTTTCTTAAGCAAACATCACAGCCACTAAGTTGGTCTGAGCCCTTCTGTCTTTCCCTTTGAGAGCCATTCACTGTGAGTACAGCAGGAATGGACCTTGGTTTGGGGCTAATATCAGCCTTTGAATTTAGCCCCTAGAACCACTGGCTGCTGTGCAGTGTTCCATCTGCACAGCACAAGTAATTAGGTCTCCTTTGTGAAGAGGTTGCTTTGTTTCAGCAAAGCCTTTTCCTTCTAGAACAAGTCCCCTTTGCCAGAGGGGACTTGGCTGAAGGAGAGGCGGTGCCCCAGGAAGACCCACTGTGTGTGAGATGTCTCCCTCACCCAGTGGGAAATCCTGGAGCCTGAGCTGCTCTCTCCCAGGTGCGTTCTGGCGCAGGGCGTTCACACGTGTGATGCAGGGAATGTCCATTGCTTTCCTGTCAATCACAGACCACAGGGTCCAGGTGGGCTGAGGGTGGTTTGGAACTTTGGTGATGTTTTTGCTCTTTGCACTTTGGGTTTCTCGGCTCTTCCTTTTCATCTTCTCTTCTAAGGTGGCTTACCCCTCAGGCCCTCACGTTTTCGTTTACCTGCAGCTCTGTCTTTATGCTTTCTTGGTGTGTAGCTCTGCGGAGAGGGAGGAATTCATTCAGTAGAGAAGGAGGAAGGGGCTGAGCCCGGTGCAGAACGGGGCCCTGCTGCAGTGAGCATGCCTGTGAGGAGCTCTGCCCTAGAAGGTCCCTGCCAGATTTGGGGGGGACAGGGACCACTTCTGAAGCCAAAGTGATTCTTTCGTACTCGCATCTGGTCCTTCCCGCCATACCTGTTGTGTGCAAGGCAGGTGGGATGGCAGCTGTGGGTGGATTTGGGGGTTTTGTTCCAGCCAGTCTTGGCTTAGGGCTGAACAATAAGCAAAACACAGGGCCTTGGCCTCTGTTCTTGCTTCCTCCTTCCTCCAGGACGTTCCACCCACACAGTCAGGCACCTCAGCACTTCTGAGGAGGACAGCCGCTCTTGGGGTGCGCGAGGCTTCCGGGAAAGCCTGATAGAGGCAGAAGGCCAAAACCAAACTAAGAGAAGTCTGTTTTCCTCCCCTTGGATGTATAAGTCACTATTATTTTCTGTTACTCTTTTTCTTGATTTTCCAAACGGGGAACTTTCTTTTTCTATCACAGTATAATGCCTTTATCCTCGCAGAGTCGAGAGCGCTGGCTGCAGTCCTGCCCACCTCTGGGTACCTTGGCCAAACCAGTTCCCCCGTGGGCCTGTCTCCTCCAGTCTGATAAGATGGTCTCCGAGGCGCCCAGGCCCAAGATCCCTGCTCCAGGCCTGCTGCCCCGCCCTTAGCCCCTCCTGTGATGGGGAAGTTGGGGGAGGAATGGACAGTGGCGCCTCTGAGGCAGAAGGAGGGGTTGGTGCTACTCTGCAGTGCAGTAGAGAGAGCCTCATCCCCCCTTCCCTCTGAGTTATGGGCGGGCAGCAGGCCTTAAGGGGCACCAATGCTGGACAAGCCTCGGGCCTGGCACCATGACCCCGCCCTTCTTAGTGAGCTGTGGCTGTGAGAGCTGCCTCCTGGCAGTTGCCTTCCTCACATACTGTTTTTAAGGGTGGAGTCCAGTGAGGCAGGAGGTGGGTGATGACATGGGAAGGTGAGAGGGGTGTTTGGGAGTCCCTCAGAGCAGTGCATGAAGCTCCGCTCAGAGCCCTCGTCAGCATGGTCGTCGTGTCCCACCCTCTCCTCCACCACTAGGGCAGCAGAGGCCTGAGGAGGACTAGCTTGGTGGAGGTAGTCACCTGTGCCTTCCCCCAGTAAGTCTCTTGTCCAGGTCCCCGTCGGAGGCAGCTGGCCTTTTCCTGTCACCTTGTCTGCCAGGAGATTTCTGTGGAAAGTACAAGCCCCAACAAAGACATCTTCCTGCCTGACTGTTGTTTTTCAAAAGCCTGAAGTTTTTGTTTTTTAAAGAGAGAATTCTTTGCGTTTTTGTTGGCCTGAGGAGACAGGTGGGGGTGGGGGAAGGGGACTGAAGCGCCAGGTGGCAGGGCACCAGGACGGCAGACCTCCGGCAGTCTGGGCCCCAGGCTGGCAGAGCTCTTGCTTGCCTTGGGTGGTGTGGGCAGAGAACCAGGCAGGACCCGCAGACTGGCAGCAAGCATGCCAGCGTCTGCAGGTCGGAGGCCCGCTCTGGGTCGTCTAGGCACCATGCACTGGCCTGTAGGCTGGGGGCGGAGGCGGGACCCCGTGATGGCCGAGAGGCCTTCCCCACCAACTCGGCAGGACTGTCTTGGAGTCCTGATGGGAATGCCATCAGCAGTTACTTCTGGAAGCCTTGGCTGTCACACCTGCCTCAAGCACCGTGTGACATGTTTCAATGAGCCTTGTAATTACAGGAAGTCAGGTGGCCACTTCTACCCCCTCACCTGCATAAAATATAAAAATTAAAAAAAATCAAGAAGAATTAGTTCAGCTGTGAAGGTCTCCTCGCAGAAGGATTGCTGTCTGGTCTCGGGATGCTGCACAGTTGGAGGCCCAGTGTCTGCATCCATCAGACCTTCCCTTTGCCAGTGACAGGCCTACCTGTCATCATCTGCCGCAGGAAGGGTGCGGTGCTCAGCCTCCCCGGACATCGTCTTGCTCCGTCAGAGGATGAAATAGGCTGTGGCCGGGGACCTGGTCAGGGCTGACAGGTAGATGGATTCTTCTCCCCATCCAGTCCCCACGGAGAAAAGATGGCACATTCTGTAAAGTACCACATGGGCCTTCTTGCTGCCCAGCCCAGGCCGGAAACGCCCAGTTTTTCTTTGTTTAAAACACCTGAGTGGTTGGATTGTTATATGGGGTAGTGAAAGCGATGGCCATTAACCTCACATCTCCCCTGGGGAGGAGCTCTGGCCAGAGCAAGGACAGGACAGGAGACTCCTGGGAAGCTTGTCTGGGAGCCTTGGTGAGGGAGTGAGTATCTCTGCGTTTCTAAACGTTTCCCCCCAGTCCATGTAGCACAAGGCCAGGAGAGGAAAGCCCAGGAGCTTGGGGCCCCAGCCCAGCCATTTATTCATTCATCCAACACTTGCTGAGCCCTCCTGCGTGTGGTGGGTGCTCAGATCAGCAGGAGCACAGGCCCTCCCTCCGGGGAGAGTGCCAGCCCAGTGGCCGCCTTGAGTGCTGGAGCCTCCGTTCCCCATTAGACAGCCCTGGGCACTGGTTTCTGCACTGCATCTCATTTAAGGCGGCTGCCTTTCCCCAGCTGGTCTGCAGTGAGAGTGCTCTGGGTTCAAGTGTTGAGCCAGACCATGCCCCGCAGCACACCTCTCACATTCAGAGTCCAGAGAGCCCCTTACTTGCTTCCTTCACACTGTCCGGCTGTGTCTGAGGGCCAGCAGGTGGTGCCCTCCCTCTGGGCCCTTGGGCAGGAAGAGGGACTGGGAGAGCATCTCATTTAAGGCGGCTGCCTTTCCCCAGCTGGTCTGCAATGAGAGTGCTCTGGGTTCATGTGTTGAGCCAGACCATGCCCACAGCACACCTCTCACATTCAGAGTCCAGAGGGCCCCTTACTTGCTTCCTTTGCGCTGTGTGGCTGTGTCTGAGGGCCAGCAGGTGGCGCCCTCCCTCCCGGACCTTGGGCAGGAAGATGGACTGGGAGAGCAGAGTGGGGGCAGGGGTCTTCTCATTTTCTTCTTCTTTGCTCTCGGATTCTTCTTTTCTCATCATCCTCCCCCTCCTTTCTAGCCTTTTCCTCTCTCTCATTCTGCTTTCCTCTTTTCTTCTCCTTCCCCCTTCCCCTCCCTCTTACCTCCCCTTCCCCTCCCCTCTCTCTCTCTCTCTTTGTTTTGTGTCTCCTTTCTCTCTCCCCCCCTCACTTCTTGCCCTCCCACCCTTCTTCTCCTTCCTCCCCTTTCCCTCTCTCTTCTGCCCATTCTCCATCCTCACCTCAGAGAGGAAACGGGAACCCTCGGTATCTGCCCATTGGTCTCCTGCCTGGAAGGAGATGTTCTGTGGGCCGTAGGGGGCGACTGTTTTCTGCCCTCACTCATCAGATGGCTCTTGGACTCGTCTTTCTCTTGTTGGACTGCAGGCTTTCTTTGAGCTTTTGGGAAGTGGAAGTGGAGGGATTAGGTAAGGGGGGGGGGCAGCTTTTTCTCTTGGAGCCTGAATTGGCATGCTGATTGGCAGCCCAAGCTGCCTGCCCTTGGGGGTCGCTTGACAGCAGAGGACCCAGCGTGCTGGAAGGGGGTCCCTGGCACTGTTACCTGGTCACTCCTAATGATAGTTGCCTGCAGCTTTTTATTGACCAGTTAATGTTCTCATGCAGACTTGAAACAAGTGTTACTAATAATTGGTCAATGATGTTTTTGTTCTTAAAATGGGAGGAACTTTATTGCTTTTCATCAGGGGGGCAGGGGTCTTCTCATTTTCTTCTTCTTTGCTCTAGGATTCTTATTTTCTCATCCTCCTCCCCCTCCTTTCTAGCCTTTTCCTCTCTTTCATTCTGCTTTCCTCTTTTCTCTTCTTCTCCTTTCCCCCTTCCCTTCCCTCGTACCTCCGCTACAGCACAGTTGGCATTTGGGGCTGGATAATTATTCGTGGTGGGGATCACATTTGCATTGTAGGATGTTGAGCAGCATCCCTGGCTTCTACCCAATCACTCGCACACACTCTCCTTTGTGGTGACACCCAGGGTGTCGCAAACATTGTCCAGTGTCCGCTCAGCACACAGTCGCTCCAGGTTGAGAACTGCTGTTTTTCATGGGAACCCTGAATGCTGATGCGGTTTTATTTTGTTCTGTTGGACATAAATGGGATTATAGAATACATGCCATCCTCCTCAGTACATTGACCTCGCCTCCGTACTTTCTTGAGTTTCTACAGAGGGGTACTTCCTGGTATGAGAGAAGCATTATTTATGTAGCTATTCTAATGATGGACACTTAGATTGTTTTATTTCCGACCACTGCAAACCGAGAGCTGCCAGAGTTGTCCTTGTAGAGACCTCTTTGCACACATTGCAGGCATTTCTCTAGGATAACTGGAAAGGGGCTCGCTGAGGGGAGGAGTATCTACGTGTCTTTTTCTAATAGGCCCAATTCAGATTGCTCTCCCAAATTGCCGACATTGGGTATTATCAATCTTTTAAATGTTATCAATTTGAAAGAGGAAAAAAAAATATGTCATTGGTGTTTGAATTTGCATTTTCCTGATTATTTGTGAGGTTGAGCAAACATCTGTACTTTAATCTGTCATTTGTATTTTTTATTTGGCAAATTGCCTACTTGTGTCCTTGTCCCATTGTTCTACCTGTTGTTCATTATTTTCTCGTCAATTACTGTCCTTTCTCGTCAATTACTCTGTTTCAGTCTCCTGCTTGTCAGTAATTTTACTTATTATTGAATGTTATTTTGTTTCCTGGTCTCCAAATCTTGGGGAGCAAGGAGTTTTGTGACTGACCTGCTGAAGTACTGTGTCTTATTTCATTTCATTATTGCAGTAGACCTGAGCTTTTGTAGACATTCTTTCCATTTTAGAGGTGGAGAAAGAAATGCTCAGAATGGTCAGTAAATAACTTGTCCAAGGTCATGCAGCTCCAAGGCGTCAGAGCCAGAGTCACTGCTGGTCTCCCCACCCCGAGTGTAGGGTTTTTAGCTGGTCTCCCAGGGCCTCCAGAGGACAGAATGGAGACCGGCAGGTGGAAGTTAGAAAGCATGTTTTGGCTCGCCTGTCTGTCTCTTATATCCAGTCATCCTGCAGTGGGCTAGGTGGGATGTCGTGGCAAGGACAGCCACATTCCCGGTTATTGACTACTTGATTTAAGGAAAATTGAGCGTGGAGACCTGTTCAAGGCAGGTGGTCTTACCAAGTACTGATCTTGACCCCCAGCCACATATGACCTGAGCTGTGGTCTGGAGCTCTGAGCTGGTGCTTCCGAGCGGAGGTTCCTCGTCTGAACAGGGAGGTGCTGCTCACCCGATGCTCACCCTCAGGCTGTGGGAGGCAGCAGGTAGAAACAGTTTGCAAGCAATTAGGCAGCTGTTCAAATGTCAGCTATTATGATTTATGTTTATGTGATGAATGTTTTCCCAAGGCCTGTGGCACAGGAATAATAATTATTTCATTTCTGTGTATAAAAACAACGGCCCTGTGCATGGGTGGGTAAATGCCTCTCCTCGCTGGGTGAGCTCCATTACAATCTTCAGAACCTGGATGGTGCTGGCCCGAGAGGGCTCTCGTCTGAACAGGGGGTGTACACTGCTAGTGCTTTTGTGGGGTTTTTGTCCCCTGTTCTGGCTTTGAGGACTTATAATAAGGTAGAATGGGTGGGACTGTTGATTCTAATGTGCAGCCAAGGTTGAGAACT